TTAGCCGCAGCCAAGTGTCAATCTCTTGCGTTGCGTGGCCCCTGCAGCTGCGTCGTCTGGTTCCCGGCATGCGGGTCACTGATGTGGGATTTGCCCAGTTTCTGACGTGCGATTCTGGACATGCAGATCAGAGGTGGGGGCCTTCGGCGTGGATCTTACGTCTGGCCGTTTGTTGACTGCGCTGGGGGAAGTCGCGGAACCAACTGTTGATGGCCAAAATTGCCGCTGCGAGGCGTCCGCTTAGAGCACGGACGCACGCCAAGTCCTGTTGTGAAGTCGAGGCGTGTTGCGGCATCGCGGGAATGGCCCCCTTGGATGATAACGACCAAATGGACACTTAGCCGAAGCTAAATGCTGATTTCTGAGCGATCGTCGTGTTCTCCCCTTCTTGTTGAGCAGATCAGATCATTGGAGTATGGCCAGATGCGATTTCTCTGGGCCCGCACCGTCCCAAACTGGATGAGGAAGATCTTCGATGCGTGGCTGGCAGCCAAAATGGTGGCAGGGGCGCCGTCCGTCCAATTCTTCACGTCGGCAGCGGCGTCAGGTTCGTGACATGCAGATCAATGACATGGAGCTTGTGCGTAGATGTATTGCCGGGCATGCGTCGCCCAGTTGTCAACATCACCATGAAATGCGTATATTGTCTTATCGACATGCAGATCCATGCGGCAGGAGCGTGCGTCGTCCCGTTCCTGCGTTGGCACCAAGCCGCAGCCAAATGTCGCTTTCTTCACGGCGTGGGAGATCTCGCCACCTTCCTGACACCCGGATCACTAATATGGATCTTGCAGGGCCGGAGCATGCGCCGTCCAGTTCTTTGCTTCGCATTGAGCAGCTGCACTACTGTACGTGTCGATTTCTCGACGTCGTTACCTTGTGGTAGCGTCCGCTTTTGCCATGCAAGCCATTATGGAGTGACAGGATCGCTTCGTCCGAGTCTTGCGTGCAGATCACTAGTGTGTGGCATGATATTGGCCTGGCACACGACCAAAGGCGCTCATGTCATCCCAACGACATGCGGACGCATGCTCAGAAGGAGCACAGAAACGAACGTCATGCGGCCAATTGGCCGCAGGTCCTTCTGGACGTGTCCATCCAGCCCGTAGGGGACATGTCCAGATATTGGTGCCTGGCGATGGAGGGGTAAATCGAAGTAGACACATGTGGACGTCTGCATTTGCCGTGGTGCTTTGACTGATCTTTGAGTCCTCCAACAGAACGGTCACAGCAACAAGTCGCCATAGAGACTCCGGCCAATTGAGGCAATGCTGCGCGGCCATATGGCGGCAATTTGCTGTCAGTGCCCCCTTGCCCTAGTTGATGTTTACGAGCAAACAATGGGACTGAAGGCAGGAAATCAGCCTTCGTCCTAGTGTGGGCAAAATATGGCTGGGTTCGCGGGGCGTCCAAAATAGTAATATTGGCCTTCCTTGCCGTATCGTGTCACCTAGAGTACAGGAAAGCCGTTCCAAGTCCAATAGCGACTATTCTCAACTGGGCGGGCGGGAACAGCAGCTCTGCGGCGGCAAGAAGTGGACAATCGCTGTTGTGACTCATCGATCGAATCCCCCAGTCTTTGAGGCGGCCAGAAGTGCAAGTCTTCAAATGCATCTTTGCAGCTCAAGCCCCATCGTCCACTTCGTGGCAGTGGCAACTTGCGATTCCCGCTTCGGGAGACTGCAGGTGCGTCTTGACCAGTTTGTCCACTCGTTACACAATTGCGGGCCCCGGTGATGGCACGGTTGTCCGCTTCCCGATATGCGGATTACTTGATGTCCGGTAAGCGCGCAAGCCGAACGAGACTCGATGAAATAAGAGGATTGAAATCCGCTGGCTACCTGGTAGGCAACGGCTAGAAGTACGATTGCCTTCTTTGCTCCTCCACTTCAAGTTTCGGCCTCAGCTTGTGGAGCTACAGTACAGTACGAGGAGCCGCATTTGCCCTGGTCGGGCAACAGATCGTTTCGGCTTTCGCAGCTAGGTTTAAGGGAAAGGATATTTGGACACCGGCCGCTGACGAGGCGTTAGCCTCTGCATGTCGGTAGTCGCGACTTGTCCGATCATCGACGCCTCGCACTGCTGCGATGTCCGCTTCCTGGACTGATTTGACGCACATTTCAAGCCATTGTTCCTTGTTGGAGCCGTGACAGCCCGAACTTGCTGTAATTACAGTACAATGTTCCATCTCCAGCCGAGGACAGTTTAGGGACGTTGTAGATGTGGCTGGCTCTTGCGGTGGCGTGGAAGGCTGCGAGCAACCGGCCATATCCAGTGCAATAGCGTAATGCCGAAAGTGCATAAGCTCGGAAATAGACAGGGCCATAGAATCGCCGGCTAACGAGAAGCATGAATTGGCTCATGTACAGTTGTCCGGTAGAGACTTTTCATTCCACACCGGCGCTGTCATGAAGCCGGGGCGTGTTGTGGCATTGTGGAAACGCGCGCCCAGTTCTGTATGGACATGGAGTAAGCGAAAACTTAACCAGACCCAGATGCCAATTTCTGGACGTCGTTGAGCGGTGTCTTTCGCTACCTTGTCCTCTGGTTCCTGACAAGCAGACCACATCATTGAAAGTGTGGTCAGATCATAGATGCGGTCACCTGGCCCGCGCAGTCGAAAAGAAGATCTTAGATATGGGGCCGCACCCAGATGCGGTGGCCGGATGTTGCTCCGTGCGATGCCTAGACAGGGTCGTCCAATTCGTGGCATGCTGCTCGCTGATTCGGAGTTTGTTCGCGTGCGGTGGGCCAGGGCTATGCGTCGTACAATGCTTGTCACCGTGGGACGTAATCTTCCGATGTTCGACATGCAGATCATTCTGCCAAGAGTTGCGGTTGTCCTGTTCTTCGCGTGGCATTGAGCCACGGCTGATTTTCGGCTTCTTGGGGTCATTTGGCTGCATCTCGCTTCGTCCGCTTCCCGACGTGCCGGTCAGTGATGTTGATCTTCTAAGTGGACGCGGCGGACCCGCTTCGTCCGGTTCCTTGCGTCGCGTGGGGCAGCTACAGTACATGTCGGTTTCTCGCCGTCATTACGTGGCGACCGCCAGTCCCTGCCGTGTAGCTCATTGCGGAGTGGCGGGGCCGGATCGTCCGCTTCCGCCAGCAACATCCAGAACTAGACGATGGGACCCCGATGTGGGGCGCGAAGACAGAGGAGATGCCATGGGTGCTAATTCGTCCACATGTGGATGGCGCCGTCCGGTTCCAGACATTGCTGCTCGCTGATGTGGAGCTTGTGCCGAGATGCAGTGGCAGGGGTTTTCGCCGTCAAACTGTCGACTATGACCTATGACAGTGGCGTACATTGTCCGCAGCTTGACATGCCGATGTCTCTAGCAGAGGCGGGCCTGGCACATCTTGACGTCGTCTGGTGGCATCTCGTGCTGCCGCGTCCATCGCTTCCTGCCGTCCAGTCTTTGCTTTTCATTGGCTGCTACAGGTCATGCCACTTTCTCGACGTCATTACGTGGTGGCGTGTCCATTTCTACCATGCAGGACGCTATAGAGTCACAGGACCTGCTTCTGGATGTGTAGATCTAGTGCGGTAAGCGCTGCGTCCGAAAGGCGGCCAGTTGTCCAGTTGGAGAGATTTGCAACGGCAATGACACTGAAAGGCGGAAACCAGCCATCTGTCCTAGTGTGGGCAAAGGGCGAGTCAGCTCCCGAGAACCATCGGGTCGACTACCTGGTGCCGGTTCGGGGGTGCGGGAATAGTACCCCATGGTGGTAAGGGGCGAAGTACCGGGACTCGCGGCATGTGCTGTCATTGTGTGGTCTGTCGCTTGCTGGACTGCCGCTGCCTGGTCCGCCGCTGCTTGGTCCGCCGCTGCTTGGTCTGCCGCTGTTTCTGCGGCTGCGGCTTGGATAAGGTCCTGATGACGTAGGGGGCATACCTTGGAAGTCATTGCATGACCCAATGTGTGGCATCTGCTGCATGTGGGTTGTGCTTTTGGCTTTCCAGCTGCCTCGACAGCCTCGAATGCGCTTGGCTCTCTCCGCGTGCTTGACTGTGGTATCGTTGAGCTAATAGCTACCCGATCTGCACGGTGACGGGGCTCCAGTAGTGGCCGATGGGTTCCACCGCGCTTTAGATGCCATTGTGTATGGAAATGCCCTAGGGAAAGGGCTTGGCCCTGTTCTTGCAGATCCCTGACTGTATGGGCGCAAGGAAGTCCTTGAGATCGAGTAAAAGCGCCGGTGCAACGAGGAAGATCTCCCGCCGAGATGCGCTTTCGCTGTTCTTCAGCGCTACCCACCAATCAATCCATACCAATCAAGGAAGTCAAGTTTCAATCAAGTCGAGCTCACGTCTCCCAGTCAATCAATCAATCTTCCAAACCCCTTCGATTGAATCCGATTGACATAAATCCTTGATTATATAATATGCCTAGTAGCCAATCGGACTCAGGGATTTAACTTAAATAGGAAGTAAGGAAGATAAATACTGCCTTATTTAGATTAGCCGATACGATACGATACGATACGATAATTATTTAACGTCCGGGAGCTACAGTAATAGCTGAAAGCCCCTATTGGGGCAAAGGACGTGCTAGGCTGCTGATTCTAATGTACAAAGATGCTGCTGGATCGGGTTGTATGGCGGCTGGTTTCATGCCTGTTGTCTAGGTTAGCGGCCACAGGCGGCTTGCTGCCTGAGGCGCCATCGGCCGATTTCCCGCCGCCCCACCATCCTCAGCGCGTCCTCATTTCAAAACAAACACCATCTAGCATCTCAGCGGCTGAAAGGCGCTCTTTCGTCGGAGCCTCGCACCCGTCAGCGGGATGTGGAGTTGCAAGCGACTTTCTGTCGCAGTCTATGCTCATCAATTGCGATGAGTCTGGGAAGGCGTTTCCTCTCCAGCTGCGTCTTGCAGCTAGAGCGGAGGGCCTCGGTCGGGTGAAGGGCGCTGGCACGCCTTTCGCTCGACCGCGACCAGAATTGGAGAAACACAAAAACAAAACAGAAAGAAAGACAGAAAGAGAGTGCTGTTCGCCTAATGGCGCGGACAGATCCTTTGGAAGAAGGAGCTTTCCGACGTCATCTCGACGAAGGCTTTGAAGCCCTTGCCTACTGCATGGTGTATCGCTTCGGCCGGTGAGGGGGCAAGCCTCATCCGGAGCCGTGGCGGTATCTTCCTGCAGTAGAATGGGTGCTCTGGCGCTTTGCGTCGTCCGCATGAGCAGTCAAGACGTGCGTCGTCATGATTGAAACGCTCGTGGTAGTCGGCAAAGTCTCCGTGGCGAGATCTCGCCGCGAGGACACTGTGGAGGGTTGCTCTGGGGAGCATGAGTTCTGGTGGGCAGCTTGTGGTCACCTCGAGGTGCATAGGCTTGTACGACTCTGGGGCTTCGGTCGTCCACCATGCTTTGAAGGCATCTCTAGGCTGCTGTCTGGCCAGTCGGCGCAGGTGTGCCAGAGATGGTACGGCTCCGGGCGGCTCAGGCAGCAGGCATCCAGCTTTGGCGAGGCTGTCGGCCTCCTCATTGCCTGGTATGCCGGCATGTCCTGGGATCCAGCGGACCTCGACGTCTCCGTGTGCTCTCGCCAGGTCCTGGAACTTGGTGAAAGCGTCCTGCGACGAGTCGGCTGGGTTCCCGCGCAAGCAGGTGGCCACTGCAAGGTTGTCGATGCATACTACGATGCTTGTCGTCGTGTTGACGGCAGCAGCTATGGCGGCTTGTAGGCCCTCCAGGGCCCCGACTGCCTCTGCGTCGAACACCTCGGCGGGCCCTAGTCGGCCAGAGCCGTGGGCTATGGGTTGCTCGTTCCGCTGGACCGTAAATCCATAACCTACGGCCCCGCTCGGCAGTTGCGATCCGTCAGAGTATACGATGAGTTTTCCGACCGCGGCGTCTTTGAGCCATTCGAGAAATTCCTCGGCAGTGTCGGCTTTGGTTGCGGTCTGGAGCGGGCTGGCTTCAGAGTCGGAGTATTGCCGCGGTAGCAAGACTGGGCGGGCGCAGTTTAGGAGGAGTGCGTCGGTACGCTCGAGTCTGGTCTTCTGGCTCCGTCGCTCGACGAGAAACTTGCGTTTGATCGAGCTGTGGTATGCCCGGGCGGGCTTCGGGGAAGTCCTCGCCACAAGAGGGTGTCGTACGTCCAAGGACTTCAGGCGCGCCGAGAAACGGATCCTTTGAGACTCGAGCAGGATGGACGCGGGTGGAATACCTGCTTCTCGATGGAGGGCAGGGACGGGCGTGGTCTTCCAGATGGGAAGAGCTGCTCGGATGGCGTGTCGCAGAACCGCGTCGAAGCGATCGACGAGGTGCTTGATCTGCGTGGACACAAGGCGGGTTGGACCCCTGGTGCTAGGGACTGTTTGACCGGGATACCATGCTTCTACTCCGTAGAACAAGGTCGGTTCGATACAAGCCTTGACGGCTCTTCGGACGGCGCTGGGGAGAGGCCCTTGTCTGGTGTTGGCCACAGCCTTCAGATGGTTTGCTATCCGCCGGGCTTTGGCTGTCCACTCGTCGACGTGGGTTTTGAACGACAGCTTTCGGTCAAGCCAGAGGCCCAGCCAGCGCATCGAGTCGGCCGGGACGATCTCTGTGTCATTTTGGAATATTGACGGCCGGGCGGGATCCTTCTTGCGGGAGAAATGCCCATGTGATGAGCTCCCGCATGTCTCGAGATGCGAGGGCGGTCGTTTCCTCTAGCGAGCACCCTACCCGTAACATTGCTGTATCATCCGCGTACCCAAAGCGGCCACCAGCGTTTCCCAGGCGGTAAATTGGCGCGATATACAGAGCGAAGAGAATGGGAGACGCGGGAGATCCTTGGGCCTGTCTCTTATACACATCGTTTCCCAGGCGGTAAATTGGCGCGATATACAGAGCGAAGAGAATGGGAGACGCGGGAGATCCTTGGGCCAGGCCACATTCGAGTGGGGACGGCGGCGTTGTGATATCCTGGAACCGTACGGCTGCTGAGCGGGCTTGCATGAAGGAAGCGGCCCATTTCACAAGGTTCAGTGGCCAGCCTTGTTGACGCAGACGCAGGATGAGTCTGTTGCGCATGACGGTGTCGAAGGCGCCCTGTACGTCCATAGTGACCAATGTAGCGACCATACCGCGGGCTAGAGCTACTTCGATATCGTGTATGAGGGCGGCGACCAGGTCTACTGCTGACCGTTTTGGGAGCGCACCGATCTGTTGGGGCTGCAGTACGCCATAATGGATCGAGGCCCAGGCGAGCCGGCGAGCAATGAGCCTCTCAAGCCCTTTGCCGAGGCAGGACAGCAAAGATATCGGTCTCCAGGCGCGGGGCTTGGAGAGGTCCCGTTTGCCGGGCTTCTCGATCATGACGACTTCTGCTTCCTTGAATCTCCGAGGGTGATAGCCTATCGTGAGGCAGCCCTGGTACAGGCGCTGGACGTGTTTGCCGATGGCAGGCCATGCCGTCTGAAGTAGGCGCACCGTGATGTTGTCGGCTCCGGGTGAGGTATTGCCTGTGCGGAGCAGAGAGTCTTGGACCTCTTCGATCGGTACATCTGCTTGGAATGGAATGTGCGTGGTAACATCCACGGGTATCCATGGGTCGGAAATATCGTCGGCGGCCGTCCTCCGCTCAAGGGTGGCCTGTCGCAGAGCTTCGGCCTTGCCAGACTGAGTCTCGACGATGGTCTCGCCCACTTGCAGCGGTGGAGGGCGGAACACGCCCGGGCTTTTCAGCCAGCGCGTGACCTTGAAAATGTCCTTGCCCGCCTGGACTCCGTTGATGAGATTGCGCCAGTACGTCCTTTTGGCTCTTCGGACAACGGCTCTCAGTTCGCGGCGGGCGGTTTGTACCTCGTAGTTGAAGCCCAAGGGAAAGGCGCGCCTCACACACCGGAGCTCGGCCACGGCGGCTATGCACTCCTCGTTCCACCAAGGGGCTCCCGACGACCGCCGCTGAGATTGTCTGCCCGCGGCGCGGGCGGCTGTTTGCATCAGGTCGATGATCGCATTCGCGAGCAGGTCGAGGTCGCCCGGGGTCGATGCGGCAGCCGGGATGGTCGCGATCCCGGCCTCTATGTTTTCTGTGT